TGTGCATTATAAATGGCCTGAAGTGCACTGATATGTGCAAACTACGTGACTGTGACAATCGTGTAGAAGATGAAGATCTCGAAGATGATGAATGTTCAGAAGAAGAAGAGGATGATGAAGACAATTAAAGAGGCCATTAACAGTAAGTTTGTATAGAGTCAGACGTTTGATATTGAAAAATAGGYTACGCGAAGAACAATATAAATGTATCAAATATATTTTCCAACTATTCTTTCCCTTTAAAGCACATAAATCACAAAATAACTTGTTGCCATGGTAACTACGATATTCTAAAACTCCCTAGAGTAGCTCATGTTGAGCTTACTGAATACCTTGTCTATCATTTTGAAATGATTGCATATACATTTCAGGCYTTATAATAAACTTGAATAGCTGGAATATTAGTATTATCTAAATTTCGATTTTRATTGAGTGACGTCATAATATCACGTGATTTCAGCACTAAAGCTACTCTTCTGACATTGCTATCACTGAAAACCATAAAGTAGAGGGTGCAAGCTTTCCAAAAATGTATGATAGCATTTGTCCCCCTGACTGTTACCGAAGACCTTATTTTTGGGGGCCTGGCCCATGGACTATTTGGCAGTTCGAATATTTTAGCCAGCTGCCAGTAGTAAAATTTGAACTGCATTTTGGCCATTGGCAGATCATTATAATTATAACATAACGCTTGCTCTGATTGGTTAATTAGTGTGCAAGAGCATGCATCCAAAAATCACTGGTTAGGGGGAAAAAAAGAATTTTTTTAGAACCCTACACAATTTCTGATCAACATTACAACTTACAGTTAGCAAAAACCCATTTCATGTTGTCTTGTTTGGCCATTCCCATCATTGGCAACATCCTGCCAAGAATATCCTTCAGAAATGGCACGACTCCAAAAGCTAAAAACAAAAATAAGCACAAATAATAACAATTATGAAATAACTGCTCCAAATCTCGCGTTCTGATTGGTTTTGAGCATGTGCTTTATGAGAGCACACAGCACGTGTGCACACTTTCAGTTTTGTCATTTGTAACTTGTATTTTACAAAAGAAATAAAAATTTGCTTGCTGTGTTGAGTGGAGTTATAAAGAACTTGGGGATTGGCAGATCACTCAAGCAGTGTCGAGAAGCACTCCACTACATGTCGTGCTTCTCCTAACACTTCTCTCGTGTTGTGCCTGTGATTTATAACTGCACACAACCAACCAATTGGGGATTGGCAGATCACTCGAGCAGTATCGAGAAGCACTCCACTACGTCATGCTTCTCCTAACACTTCTCTCGTGTTGTGCCCGTGATTTATAACTGCACACAACCAACCAATTGAGGATTGGAAGATCACTCGATCAGTGTTGAGAAGTACTCCACTACATGTCGTGCTTCTCCTAACACTTCTCTCGTGTTGTTCCCGTGATTTATAACTGCACACAACCAACCAATTGAGGATTGGAAGATCACTCGAGCAGTGTTGAGAAGCATTGCGCTAAGTGTCGTGCTTCTCTTAAAGTGTATATGACACGAAAATATTCCATCATTTAAAATGTATAGTTTGTTAGTAATAAT